GAGCTAAAAATTTCACCATGTATTAAGTTTCACTAGCTCTTTAGCTGCCTGGAGTCAATTCATATCTAACGTGTTTCCTTCCGTACACAGAGCCCTATGCAAATGAGCAAAAATGTAAACAATGACGTCAGCATGAATCCCCATATTGTTTTACCCAAAAACAAGAGACTATATCATAATCTCTTGCCAAAACCGATTAACATGTTATGCGAGAACAGAGACAGCTCTTGTTTCTTTAACTGAATGGGAGACCATGCTACGGTAATTCTCTCCCAATTTATCAGTATAAGTCATGTAATTTCCTCGGAGATACTCGTCATTCCGTGAATCACCCTGTAAATCAGTGGTGATATAATGTTTCCCTATGTATGTATGTCCACAACTATAGCGATGTTGCCAGCACCCCTCGTTCATAACAGCCGCCATATTTCAAACAGCAGGATCAAAAGAAGACACAATCTGCGGCGGGAAATTGGCTTGTCCACACATGTGTGGTAACAGGAGCTATAATCGGGGACGGAGACCGTAAGCAGGGCGGGAAAAGGCCGGGCGGTGAAACGGGCAGTCCGCTCTTGGTCCAGGGTGTGATGCGGAAAAGGACTGGCTCGAGCGCTCCTTCCGCGCTTCCGGTGAGATTAATGGCTGCCAAAAATTTCCTCCCGACGAACCGGACATCAACTTTTCTTTCTCTAGTTTTGAGCCACCAGTGGTGTATTTTCGAAAACCTTTTGATGTTTTAGACCCAAAAGTCAATACATTTATGTCTGTTGTAATGATGCTTATTTTAAGTAGTTTCGTCGTGGGCTGCCCAAATTTGAGTGAAGTGAGACGGTGTCGAATGCAGGTATGCCCCGCTTATCATGACCAAGCCGTGATCCGCTTCTTCTTTTACGAGTACTCCACATTACTCCACTCTAAATTTTACATATTTTGAAGATCGATAGCTCTTACACAACATTAGTAAAAAACCAGCTGGATATATTTGGATATAGCAGCGTTTCAGAACTTCAAAGTTTCCCTACTCTTGCCACACGCTTGCTTGGTTTTTGCCATAGAGATGGAAAAGTAATAAAATTTTGCGAGTTTGAGTTTCGCCTGAATTGAAAGCAATACGCGATGTTTCATCAAGGCACAAAAATTTCCGTCTGTAAATACTGCTCAGTTTTGTTTGTGTGAAAATCCAGTAAATCGCTGATTTTCGATGAAAAAGACAGAAAAAGAGCGCCCGCCGATGCGTGTTTTGTAGCTATAAACATGACAAATTGGAC